CCTCCCACTTGGTTTTAAGCAGTGGGGGAGGGTGTAAAAGGATAAGCTTATCCTTAAGGAGAATGAATCTAGGAGGACTCTGCATGGGAGATAATACAAGTCCTACTAGGATTGTGCCATGACGAAACTTATAAAGCTCAAAGCACACTTGGGGAGGTAATTGAACAAAATTTTTTCTGAGAAATTTGAGCTTTGTTCTATTTGTCAAGTTTTTTCTGACTTAGGCATCGGAAGAGGTTTCGCGGTAACACAACCCGCCGGCTAGGATGGTTTTCTTTATAGCCGAACTTCCTTTTGACCGAAGTAAAATCGGCTATACCGAGCCACAGAGGGCCGAACTATCCTTAGCTCGGTCTTCTGCTCCAACTCTTTACTTCGGCTGCCCTGTTCAACCTTGGTGTGCCTAAATCAAACTTTCAAGTAACAAGTTCTGACCGGACTAATTCCGAAACCGGCTTTCACAGAACATATTGCGACCGGACTAACACTGAGACCGACCTAACTCCGAGTTGCCTCCGGACCGGAGTAGCTTTACTCTTCCTTGGGCCGAAGTAATTTCTCCTCCTTGGGCCGAAGTAACTTTGTCTTCCCAAGGCCGGAGTAACTTTGTCCTTCTGGGCCGGAGTATCTATTGCGGCCTTTTTACTTAGTCCTTCGCGTTTTGGGCCTCAATTCCCAACTCTCAGCTCGGCCCAATTTTTCCCAAAAATTACCCTCTCAGTCATACAGTTATTTATCGTAATCGAATTCAAGGCCACAAGAGACTTTATTAAGATTACTTCTCTGAAACGCCTATATATCTGCCCAATTTATTTAGGAGGAGGTTTTGGATGAGTCGATATCTCTTTCTTCGTATTTTATCTATGGTGGAAGCATATGATCCTTATTTTGTCCAGAAGAAAGATGCTATTGGAGTTCTTGGTCTGTTTTCCCTTCAAAAGATGACAGCGGCTATGAGGATGCTCGCTTGTGGAGTAGCGGCCGATTCTGTAGATGATTATGTGAGGATTGGAGAAAGCACTGCAATAGAAAGTCTACAAAGGTTTGTTCAGGCAGTGGTTGCAATTTTTTCAGATGTGTACTTGAGGGCACCAAACAAAGATGACATTGCTAAATTACTAGAGGTGGGAAAAAATCGTGGGTTTCCTGGAATGTTGGGGAGCATTGATTGTATGCATTGGAAGTGGAAGAATTGTCCTACTGCATGGAAATGTATGTATTGTGGTCATATCCATGAACCAACTATTATTTTAGAAGCGGTGGCTTCTTATGATCTATGGATATGGCATGTATTTTTTGGATTACCGGGATCTCATAACGACATCAATGTGTTAGAACGTTCTTCTGTATTTTCTCTCCTTACTGAAGGGCGTGCTTCCCAAGTTGATTACTCAATCAATGGAAATGACTATACAATGGGATATTATCTCGCTGATGGTATATATCCTCAATGGTCAACATTCGTTAAAACAATTCCATCTCCACGAGGCAATAAGCAAATACATTTTGCTAAGGCTCAAGAGTCAGCAAGGAAGGATGTCAAACGAGCATTTGGAGTGTTCCAAGCACGTTTCTCAATTGTGCGAGGACCTGCACGTTTTTGGAAAGTTGAAACCCTTAAAGTTATTATGAAGGCATGTATAATATTGCATAACATGATTGTTGAGGATGAGCGAAATGAACAAAATATAGACTGTAATTATGATGCAATCGATGAAACTCTCCCTCCAGCAGTGTCACACGAGCGTACACCCGAACTTTATGACTTCATTCAAAATCATCATCGCATAAGAGATAGACAAACTCATTCTAAACTCCAAGCAGACCTAGTTGAGCATTTTATATATTTAAATAATATAAATAATAAAAAAAATTATTATTAAGTTTCTAGTCGAGCACGGGCTTAACTAATATTAATGAGCCAAGTTCGACCTTGATTAGTTATTGAGCCAAACTTGAACTTGATAAACAAATAAGCCAAATTCGAACTCAGCAAAACTCAATTCAGCTCGGTTCGTTTACAGTCCTAACACATGAAAAATTGGATGTGTGACAAGGAAATGGGTAACTAAGTAATTTGGCTTTAGTATGGAGTGGCAAAAAAGTAATTGTATTATTTATGTTATCTCGGTTAAATGACAACTTTTGATAAGGTGTAATGATAATTTCTCCTACAACATGACATAATTTGCATTTTAAGTAAATTTTACCGAGTGTATTTATAATTCAGAAATGCTACAGACACCCACGATCCCCACACACCTGAGTGAGTGAGAGAGAGAGAGAGAGGGCTAAAAAACAAAAAACAAAAAATACATAATGAATGGTCACCAATCAGTTAAGGGTTATGCAAATCATTTATTTTAGGGGTCTCAAATATTTTTCTTTATAATTATCCTAAAATTAAATGTTAACATATTGAGATAGGATTTGGCTTCTCTCCTCTATTTATTTAGTCTGGATGTAGATTTACTCCAACGTGTGGATCCAGTCCAGTTATACATAGGGGTGAGCATGGTCCGAATTGGACTGGATTGGAGTAAAATCAGGACCAATTCGTTATCTACGGATCCTGAAAAATTAGAACCAATCCAATCCGTTTAAATCGTGGAACTAATCCGAACCAATCTATTTAAATACGGATTGGATCGGTTTAGGACCACGGATTTATATAATTAAATAACAAATATATATATGTATGGAGTGGCAAAAAAGTAATTGTATTATTTATGTTATCTCGGTTAAATGACAACTTTTGAGATGCTCTAATGATAATTTCTCCTACAACATGACATAATTTGCATTTTAAGTAAATTTTACCGAGTGTATTTATAATTCTGAAATGCTACAGACACCCACGATCCCCACACACCTGAGTGAGTGAGTGAGTGAGTGAGTGAGTGAGAGAGAGAGAGAGAGAGTGAGAGGGCAAAAAAACAAAAAACAAAAAATACATAATGAATGATCACCAATCAATTAAGAGTTATGCAAATCATCCATTTTAGGGGTCTCAAATATTTTTCCTTATAATTATCCTAAAATTAAATGTTAACATATTGAGATAGGATTTGGATTCTCTCCTCTATTTATTTAGTCTGGATGTAGATTTACTCCAACGTGTGGATCCAGTCCAGTTATACAGGCCAATTGTAAGAGTTCATTTCTGATAATCAAATTTGTTAATTTTTTGGTCTTTACAAAGATAAATAAATAAATAAAATTGATTTCTGATAATCAAAGTGTAGTCTTCATCTGCTTTGAAAATTTTTTTGATCACTCATTATTATTACAAAAATATTTTGAAACTCTAATAAAGAACTTTTAATAGTTCTTTTTTTAGGAACACTAATGCCGGCTCTAATGAGCTGACAATGCAAGAAAAACAAAAAGAATAATGCTTGAGACCCCCTTTTGGGGGTCACCCCCTCACCCCCTTTGCCATGTGACGGGTGGTGATTGGAGAAGCAGGAAAAAAAAAAAAAAATGTAACCAATGAGAGAGAGAGGGGGTCAAAGGAGGTGGGAGGAAAAGGGGGATGAATCATTGTTGAAACAAAAAACACAAAGACTAAATCATCACATCAAGGTGGGATCCACAACAATGCCACCTCATTAGTGCAGCTTTAGAGCTGCAACTTTAATGATCCCAAACATTATTCAATGATGCTTGTGTCTTGTGTTTTTTTTATTATTATTGTTATTATTATTACTATTATTTTGAAAAATGTTTTGGTGATTATAATTTGGTTGGTCACCCCCACATCTTTTGGACACTCCAACCCTTTTTTTTTTTTTTTTTCGGAACACCCAAATTAATCCCAATTTTACCTTCTTACTCACTTGCCACCGAGCCCACCTCCAGCAGCCGCAATCCTCAGCCTTTCACGTCACTGCCGTTTTTGCAGCTCCGTCAACCTCTTCATCCGCCACCGTCCCTCCAGATCTGTAACCCCTACCACTTCTTCTCATTTTTATTTGAAAAATGCTTGGAGCACTAATTAGTGCTCCCACTAATTAGGTGGCAGTAGGTCCCGTCATTAATGATGTGATGTTTTGGTCTTGGAGTTGTATTTTTTTTTTTTTTTAACTTTTTTAATGCATTAGTGCTATTAGTGGTGATGTTTTTAATGGGATGAATCATTGTTGTTTTTATTTTTCACAGCTACGGCCTCTCTACAACCATGAAACCCTACCCTAGATCCCTTTTTCCGTCGCAACTCTCTTCCCTACTGCTAACCCCCAACCTAGTCCCCCTTCTCGTCGCAAACCCCCCTCGTTACTGCTAAACCCTAGATGTTGAAACCTAGGTCTTAGGGAAGAAAAAAGAGGAGGAAAAGAATTGGGAGGTGATGACGGCCAAGAAGAAGAAGAAGAAAAAGAGTGCAAAGAGGTGGTGGCAATGGGGTGGGGAAGAGGTTGCAAACCATTGGCTGGAGCTAGGAAGGGTTGACCGAATATGCTTGGAGTTGGGAGAGGATGGCTGGAGTTAAGGCTAAGGGTTGGTCATTCTGGTAACTTGATTGAAGGATAGAATGGCTTTAAAAAAATTAAAAAATTCTATCAAAAATTTTAATTAAAGAGATCTCACTCAAGAGCATCGTTTGGGAAGTAGGTTGATTTTTTAAGTTTTTTTTTGTTATTTTAGTTTGGATTAAAAAATTTGGTTTGAAAAAGATTTTTTTGACTTTTTGAATGTTTTGACTTTTTTTGTAAGAGAATAGTGTAATGATTATGGGTTGGATATGATATTTTTTTTATTGTGGCTAAAATAGCCTATTTTGTCTTTTGTGACTAAAATAGTCGCAAACCATCTTCCCAAACCTAGCCTTTAAGTTACTTAAGTTTGATTTTAGAATATGTTGGGCTTGTTTGGTTTGTTTTTGGGAGAGTTATTTTTGAAAAAAAATTTGGACAGTGAGGAAAAGTGATTGAGAAGTAGAGAGGAGAAAGAAAAATTGATTGATGTATAGAGAGAGAAAGTGATTTGGAAAATTTTTTGAGAAAAACTCAAACCAAACAATTTTTTAGAAATTTTTTTCTAAAACTCATCTGCCAGATGCAAACCAAACATACCCGTTATTTTAATAATTTTTTAGTTAAAATATTAGGTAAAAAAAATTTATATATTTGGAATGACTTTTTGATTTTTAACGAAAAGATGTACAAAAAATAGAAAAAAAATAGAATCTTTGACTTTTTGATATAAATTATAGATTTTTTAATTTTTTTAATAACTTTTTTACTTTTAAATTAAAACTATTTACTTCCTAAACGAGGCCTTAGTATCATCATTTATTACATCAATTTTAAAAAAAAATATTAAATTTTATTTTTAAAAATTTTAATTTTTTAAATACTTAATAAAGTGTCTCATTTTATTGATTAGCTTAGAACTTCAATTTTTTCACCTATCTTTTCTTTCTTTCTTTTTTTGGTCAAATCCCTTAGGTGTTATTTAGGATGTCCTAAATAAGTGTATTTTTTGTCTTTTTAGACTAAAAAATTGAGAAAAAATGTTTGAATTAACTTTTTGACTTTTTATGAAAAAATGCGTATTAAAAAATTATATAAATTAATATGTATGAAAAAATTAGAATTAATAATTTTGTAGTCATATTTTTTGATTTTCAATAAATAATAATAACTTTTTAACTTTTTAAATAATTTTTTAATTTTTTTTTAACTTGTTAAACGTATTAAATTTTTCAACTAAAAATACAACGTAAAGAAACTTGAACCGCTACCACATTTAAGGCGACGCAATCTATATATATCTATACTATTATAAAGTGAACAGGAACTTTGGTGTCCTGAAGCTTTACTCTCTTCATGCCATGTATATATATCTATCTATCTATACTATTATAAAGTGAACAGGAACTTTGGCGTCCTGAAGCTTTACTCTCTTCATGCCATGTATATATATCTATCTATCTATACTATTATAAAGTGAACAGGAACTTTGGTGTCCTGCTAAAAAGTCAAAAAGTCACTATCTTATTTAAATCACATCATCTTATTTAAGTCACATCACCTCTCCAACACATCACTTCAAACCCAACCCAAACTCAACCCATATTTCATAAAAAGTCAAAAAGTGCACTTATTTAGTCTTCCCAAACTTGACCTAAAAATATAACGCAAAGAAACTTGAACCGCTACCACATTTAAGGCGACGCAATCTATATATATATATATTGGTACATTGAAAAACGAATAGATCAACAAAAAAAAAAAAGAGAAAAAGACGCAGAGTCAGTTGGGGGACACTGTTCAGAGCCTGAGGTAGCCCTGCCCAACTATGTCTGCTACCACTTGTCCTCTAATATTTTTATTAGGAGCCTCCTCCATGACCACTAGAGGCTCAGCTTGGTTAGTATACTCCCACTGAATGTCAACAATTGATTCTTTTCCTTTTCTTAGCCCAAGTTTGACGAGCTCTTAAAAAATTAAAAATTCAAAAAGTTATATAAAAAATTTAAAAAGTATCACTATTTATTAAAAAAAATATTAAAATATTAATACAAATCAAAAGTTGGCCGATATGATGATTGAGATATCGTTTGAGAAGGGGGTTGACTTTTTAATTTTTTAACTTTTTGACTTTTAATTTTTTTGAGAGGTGTTCACATGTTAAATGACCAAACTACCCTTGGTAATACCTTTTCCACACCTAGTCGGCTCCTTCCTCCACGTCAGTGTCACAGCACTTTTTTTTTTTTAATGAGGCATATTA